GTTCATAGGCACTGTGCCTCTGGGCTTCTCCCCAAAGATTATCCTCCTTTAGTCCTACTGCTTGTGTATGAATGCCCAGAGTCCTGGATGACTTACCATGCCCCATGTGTTACCTACTGAATGAGACTGGGTAAATAGAAGCAACAGATGTAAATAAAAGTAACAGGTACAAACATTGACCTTCATCAGAGATGAAGGACAAGGAAGAAACAATAACATCTTACCTGACGCTGAGGTGTCTGCCTCCACCTCTGACTGGGAGGCCCTGTGGGCTATGAACTTGGCTTAGGATCTCAGCCTTTTAGGTTTGCACCTCTCTGCCTTCCCAGAGCTCGGGAGAAACTGCCAATGAACCAAACACTCAGTGTCAGGACTTTGCCTCAAAAAGGAGAAAGGAAAGTGAAACTTCCTAACTGTGATGTGGCTGCACTCACACACAGATCTCTTTGCACTCAGCTCCGCCTCACAGACAGGAACAGGGGCAGGCAAAGTCCCCCCAAAAATGTACCAACACTCTTGCTGAGCAAAGAATGGAAACAGTTCAACTAAAATACATCAAGAATATCTTGAGGTGAGGTGGCCTAAGTCAGATAGGGAGGTTGGCCATTTGGAGTTTTCTCTCAGGCTCATGGTCTGTTAAATGCCTTAGTATCCAGGACTAGAAGAGTTAAAACCTGGTATTCAAATTGGAATTTCCCACCTGGAAAAGACCCAAAATGCTTGGTTCGTCCAATTCTCTGGAACAGATCCAACGGTAATACAGAACTCTCTCTGTGCTTCCAAGTGCAGACAAGTATAGAGAATATGGGCAGAGGCCTCCCTACAATTGTAAGTTTTCCTGCAGTGAAGATGATGGGTAGGGTAAGGCAAGAAGTAAGCTTCATTTAGTTCAGTGAAGTCTTTAAGACAGCAACCAAGCTTCTTGTGGAATGGAGTAATCAATCGGGAGCTGAGATTTTTATCTAGACAATTCAGGAAGATGGGTGCATTGGATTTTTTATGGTATATCTTTTTTTTTTAACTTCTACCTGACCATTCTGTAAATGCAGAACAACTTTGAAAAATAGCTATTTATCAGTACAAAGTTGAGGCTAAAGAAATAGAAATAAAAGAGAAATGCAGTATGAGGATATAACAAAAATAAGCCAGGCCCAGTTGCTTACACCTATAACCCTAGTTACTCAGGAGGCTGAGATCTGAAGGTGGAGGTTCAAAGCCAGCTTAGACAAGAAAGTCTGGGAGATGCTTATCTCCAGTTAATCAGCAAAAGCCAGAAGTAGAGCTGAGGCTCAATGTGGTAGAACATCAGCCTTAAGTGAAAAAGTTAAGGGCCAGCACCTAGACTCTGAGTTCAAGCCTTTGTACTGGCACCAAAAACAAAAAACCAAAACTAAACTAAAAAAAAAAAAAAAGGACTAATGTTAAATGATGGGACTGTTTAGAGGTGAGAAGGGGAGTGTTGAATCTAATCAAAATACTTGATACACATGTATGAAAATATAGTAACAAAACCTGTTAAATAAAATATAAAATAAATAATTGAAAGAGAAAAGTAGATGTTCTTTTTTTTTCTTGAGTGAAAACCAGTTCAGTACCATTACAGATGAAGGAAATGGAGGTAAAAACCACAATGAGATGATTTCCTGTTGATACCCACTGAAATGGCAGAGGTCAAGGCCCACTGCTAGGAGCTCTGCTAGGCCAGGCTGGGGCCTCTGAAGGGTGGACCTGTAGGCCTCAGGGCTGCCAGTAGGAGGTGTGGATCTGCTACAGCTGGGCTTATGCACTTGCAGCCACCACCACTGAGAGGTGAGGGCAGGAGGGAAGTGGGGGCAGACCCCAGAGCGCCATCTGCTGGTGGGAAGCCTGGGGATGGCCGGGAGGCAAGGACACCCATCACGGGGCCCCTTGTGGCACCTCGGCCCAGAAGGCCACAAGGCCTCCTGTGAAGCCTCCTCCAGGGCCTCCTCACCTGGGCTGTGTTGGGATTCGTCCCTGGGCTCAGGAGCCCCAGGTAGGTGTTGGGGCTCAGGTGTAGGCAGGCTTTGGAGCCCCTCCTGACCCTGTTGATTGCCTGCAGCCATTTTTTAAAAAAAATTTACTTTATTGTTATTATAGAAGTGATGTGCAGAGGGATTACAATGAGTCAGGTAATGAGTGCAGTATCCTCTGTCCCTTCCCTCTCTGCCAGTCCCTCCCTCCCATCTCCACCCTCCAGTTGTGTAGTTCACCAGTGTCCAGTGAGCTGCACTGTTGCTCTTTCTCATCCTTCCTTTTTCCTTCCAGTTTTGTACAATCCCTTCCACCCTCCCCCCACCCTATTATCCAAGGTGCATAAGATGTCAGGCAAAACCCCAGGTAAGCATGGATGTGCTGGACAGAGGCAGGGCAATCCAACCTGAGCCTGGCTGTGAACATTCCATTATGGGCCTAACCTGTGGGGAGCTGAAGCCAAGCTGTGAGACCTGGAAAGAGGTTGAGAGCTGGACCCTGGGAAGGTTGCACTGTCAAGGCAAGACAGATGCAGAGCTGTTTGAACATTAAGAGGGTTGAGACCTTGGATAAGGGAGTCAATTGTCAATATACTTACCTATGGCAAAGTTCACCAAACTGTTCACTTAGGATGACTGCATCTTAAACATCCATAACACTGAGCTGAAAGAGAATTACACATCATTTGCTTGTGAATTAACAGGGTAGGTTTTCCATTATTTGTAGATTCTTGAGCATGTATTGCTTAGAATGAACATCTTTTGTCCTTGTTCATGTTGGGTTTTTTCTAAAGTAATTTTTTCCTAATTTCCTAATTCCTTTCTGGCATTATTTTCTCTTTTTCACTTGCTTATGTGTTGGCTTTTTCTTTCCCACAATTGATGTGTGTTTGTGTGTGTGTACACATACGCGCTCACTTGGCTTTTTCACTCAAGGCTGGGTGTTCTACCACTTGAGCCTTTACTTCTGGCTTTTGGGGCATTAATTGGAGTTTGATGTCTCATGGAATTTTCTGTCTGGGCTGGCTTTGAACATCCATCTTCAGATCTCAGCTTCCTGAGCAGCTAGGATTACAGGCACCTGGCCACATCCATGTATCTTTTTTTGCCAGTCATGGGGCTTGAACTCAGGGCACAGCCCCTGAGCTGCTTTTGTTCAAGGAACTGAGCCAGTTGAGCCACAGCGCTCCTTCTTTTACTGTTTATGTGGTACAAAGGAATCGAACCTGGGGCTTCATGTATGCTAGGCAAGCACTGTACCCCTGAGCCACCTTCCCAGCCCGTGTTTTATTTTAATCAGATCTCCCACACACTTATTCTCACTTTCCCCATGCCCATCATTCACTATGGATTCACAGCTTTCGTTTTTGTATTGGTCGGTCTGGTGGTGGGGCCTGAACTCTGGGCCTGGGCACTATCCCTCAGCTGTTCTAGAGTCCTTCCCTGGGGAAAGGGCTTGGATCTGCTTCCCACACCGCTGTGGAGCTTTCCAACACCCCCAAAGACCTGTCCCTCTAGGCAGAACTCTGGTTTCTGTTCCAGTTCCCCTCTAGCTCAGTGCTCTGATGTAATTTTATCCTAACCATTTCTAGGCTTTTCTGACACAGCCTCTTTGGTTGTTTGCTTTAAAAATACCACTGTGGTGATCCTAGCTATTCAGGAGGCTGAGATCTGAGGATTGTCATGACCAGCCAGTGAGCACGTCCACAGAGGCATGGCTAGAGGTGACAAAGCCGTGCGTTTTATGAGTTGGTTTGCACCCTGCCCTGGGTTACCTCAGAACTAGAAGCAGCTGCAGCCTCCAAGGGGCACGTTTGTGTCCTTTCTTTTCTCCTTCCCACAGGCCTCTCTCCTCTCCACAGGCCTCTCCACCTCTCTGGGCCTCTCCGCTGGCCTCCGCCAGCCTGGGCTCCTCAGGCCTGAGAGAGCCTGGACACTGCTCCGCTCTCTTCCGGTCTCTCTTCCTCTCTCTCCCTTGCTCCCCTCCTTCCTCTCTCCTTCCCCCTCTCCCCGGAACCCCCTCCTCACTATATCCGGTGGCCGGCGCCCCTTGCCCCCTAGCGGCGTGGCGTGCATGGCGCTGACGTCAGCGTGGGTGCGGTGACGTCAGCGTGGGCGGGACTTCCTGTCCCACAGCCTCTCACAGGATCGGGGCTCAAAGCCAGCCCCGGCCTTGCCAGCCCCTGCGTCGCTTACCGCCGATTAACCACCCTAAAACCAGACGTGGAGCTGCGGCTCAAGGTCGAAGAGCGCTGGCCTCGAACAGAAAAGCTCGGGGACCGCGTCCAGGCCCCGAGTTCAAGCCCAAGGTCAACAACAAAAAAAAAAAAAACAAAACATGACCATTTCTAAGCTGGGCGATGGGGGCGGCTCCGAAGTGGGAGAAGCCCTGAGTTCAAAACCCACGCTGCCAAGAAAACGTGGAAACAAAAAAGATGGTGTCTAGGAAATGCATTCCGCCACCCACGCCTCATCACTCTCCCCAAAATCGTTGGGGGTGGGGGTCAAGTCCTCAGGAGTCCTTGGCCAGGGCTGGGCTGCTG